TCTCTTCTTACATTTTGAACTCCAAATACCTGTACTTTCTACTTTCTTCATGGTTGAACCCAAATACCTGTACTTTCTACTTCTCTACACTGTTTTTTTTGGTTTTTTTACTCAAACATGTACTTGTACTTCTTACATGTGAACCCAAATACCTGTACTTTCTACTTCTTACATGTTGTACTTCAAACATGTACTTTCTACTTCTTACATTTTGAGCACAAATACCTTACTTCTACCTTCTTACATTTTGAACACAAACACCTGTCTTTGCTACTTCTTACATTTTGAGCACAAATACCTGTACTTTCTACTTTCTTTACATTTAGAGCACAAATACCTGTTCTTTACTACTTCTTACATTTTGAACTCAAATACCTGTACTTTCTACTTACTTACATTTTGAGCACCATATACCTGTTCTTTCTACTTCGTCATTTGGAACCACAAATTAACCTGTACTTTCTACTCTTACATGTTGAAACACAAATACCTGTACTTTCTCTTCTTACATTTTGAACTCAATACCTGTCTTTCTCTTCTCGCATGTTCCAAACAGGCTGGTTCCTTTAGTCGGAATGTGTAGTTTGGTGGCGTGATCATTATTATTAGAGTCATTGCGTTGCCTATTGATGTTGAAACACGATCCGTGTAACCCATCCATTTCCTGGTCTTCTCTAAAGAAGGAGGACCAATGAAAACGTTTGTCATGTTGCCGTTGTTCAGCATGGGAAACATTCATTGCTAAACATTGACATTATTGTTCTATTAATATAAAGGGAGGTCAGGTACTCTTTTAAAACAGCTGCTAGTTATGGGTACTTTTTACTGAAGTACATTTCAAAGCCTCTTTACTTTGACTTGAAGTAAAGAAGGTTTAGTCAGTACTTCTAACTTCCACCAGAGTATTTTTAAACCAAGTATCTGTATTTCTACTTTCAGTAAAGGATGTGTGTACTTTTTCTCTCTCTGGTGAAAAGTAACCACCAACAAGCCCCACGCTGCAGAATCTCTTCAGAGACGTGGCCACAACACTTCATGTTGCCTACAGAAAATAAAAACACGACGCTGGTAGTTCAGAGGTTTCCACAAGTGTCTTGCTGCAACAAGTGAAATTGAAAACACTTTTAAAAACAAGAGCATTTTTAATAGCTTTTCTCACACCTGTCAGGCTGTGGCAAATGATGTAATTATACATTTCTGAATATTGCATTTCTTCAAACACATTGACATTAGATGTTATTGGGCTTAAACAACCTATAAATATGTCTGGAAAACACGAAGACCCCCTTGCCATCCTTGATAACCCTTAATTTCAATTTATAGCCAATATATCAAGCACTTAACACTCACTTAAAATAACCACTTTGAAATCTACTTTTGAGGACATCCAGCATCGATAGAACACTGATTGTTTTGATTTGTTTACATACATTTCCAAATACAAAAAAGCCAAATATAAGTCGAGTAAAACACGTTTTTTTTTAAGAATCTCATTTTTAATAAATCATCAAACAACATTCTACCAAAGTGTAGATCAATAAGAACTATGAACCTTC